GAACTTGTAATTGTCAATCATTTTATACGTGTAATATGAAATACTAATAGGTACTTAGACATATTGAAAGCATGCAAATAATTATTTTACATAATAGCAGATTAGATTATATTAGAAATTAAATACTCGTAATTTACTATTACTATTATTTATAGTTATTATTACTAACTTGGTTCATCAGTCAATATTTTATATTAAAATATATTAAATATATAATAATATATAATATAAATATATAATATATAGTAATATAATATATAATAAAATAATATAATATATAATATAATAATATAATAAATAATATATTAAATATATTTAATATATTAAAATCAAATAAATGAAACATTGGTACTACTAGGTTACTAAAAATATATAAATAACTATTTTATGCGATAACACACTAACACTAGATATTATGATATTTCCACTTTGATACGATTTACAACTGGTATTATCAGTTTGACAATATTATTATTGTTATCGTTCGAATGAACCTACTAGTACATGACTAAACGTTAAGTTTCAGACGAGATTGTTCCGACGATAATTAGTCTCGTACAACAAACAACGAGCCGAGACCACAACTTGCTCTAGACTTATTGTCGCAATTTCATTGTATGTTTATCCTGACTCAGTAATGAACCACCGTAATACGATCGTGACTACATCACTGCCACTACTGTTTGTCAATGTCAATGTCACGATACTGTGACCACGACCATGACCAATGCCATAAAAATGATGCATTTACAACGAAAATTGTTTATCGTGTCACGTTGTTTCTATTGGCGTAGCTACTTCCATCACAGCAATTAGTATCGTAAGCATTTAATAACAGCATATATCTTCTCTTTATTTTATAATAACAAACAATACAATGAAATATAAATAATAGTAAATTATCCAAAAAGAGATAGCACAGGTTCCTAAAGAAATTTTAAAAGATAGTCTTTGTGTGAAAATGCTATTTCAAAAAATAGTCTATTGCTATGTTATGCGCGACAAGTGTAGGCACGACTTCTGCCTTAAATATTGTTACCCAGAATTACGTTAAAAAAAATATATATATATTATAGCAACTCAATCCTTGCAATTAAGGTTACATTTCAATAATTTTCCATTTATCTGCTCGTCGAACCTAATCGTCTTTCCTCCAACCAGTCATCGAACCATCGACGATCAACCGAGATATCCGGCCATCCGGTTTTCACCGGGGCGTCCAACGCAAGACGGTCGTGATCGTTCCGATTTACTCGGCCGTAGTACTACTCCAGCGTAGGCACTTATTGTTCAGTCGTTACGACGTCGTCTGGTACGCGTTGCAACATCCGGTCGCGTAAAGTTGCACGCGCGTACGAGGACCGACGGATTCGTAGTAACCTCGTGGTTACACGTACGTGCAAACGAGCCGAGGAGCCGCGAGTTTCGTGCACGAAGGACATTCCCACTCCTACGCGAACCGTTTCTTTCTCCCATTCAAATTATCCGGCGGAAGTGGCCCTTACTTTCCCTACACGCGTACACGCTTCAGAAATTTCTCGTCTCGGCCGCAGAAACGGAGAACGAAGAAGAAGCACCGGCTAACGTTCAATCGCCGGATACGACGACGAGAGAGGAGAAGGGCCTCTACTCGCATGCATGCACGGACGGTTCCTCGAGTTTGTTCGCGATAATGCGATTCTACGTTCTGTAGCGACGATAGTAACGTGGCAGCGATTCGCGAGCGGCGGCCCTGCACCACGAGATCGGCCGAACAATTTTTATCAAATTCTTCTAACGACGTGTTGAATAGGATTAAATTTTATTTGGCTCTGAGATCGAATAATGGTATAAATATAAGTAGTGGTAAACAATAGGAAGAAATTATTATATCGATGACAAGGATGAATAATGTAATATTGTATTTTATTCCAGAGTTAATCACAGAGTGATTATCAGTGAATCGTCCGTAAAGCGTAGAAAAATATGTTTTTGGACAATTTTCAATAATTATTGTGATTATAATTATTGATGGTGGAGAAATATCGAGGCTGAAATTCACGTGTTATTTTCTAAGGTCTATGAAATTATTGTATTACAAGGGAAGATACTTTGTTGTTTTTCTGAATTGCTATTAACTTGTCTTAAAATGCAGGGAATAGTACTAGTTCGTTTGTGATAATTTAGAATAGAAATCAATAGAAATCGGAGCTATTACTCCACCATGGTGAAAATATGTTATTTAAAAATCTCAAGGTGATCTCCATACTTTTATTTTATTTTAATTTCTTAAAACAATCATAGATACATCCCTCGATCACCAGTCTAATCATACATATGCATGATCTTTCGATTTCACGTCTACCAACGACGTAACAATTTATAATTCACTGCTTCCGTCAGTTCTCGACAAAAGAACGAAATTTCTCGTTTCTTGTCACGTGTGCAACAGACACCTGAAGAACATTGTTCCTCGCCGGATGGAACAAGATTCTTTGATGTTTCTCATTTGATGTTTCTTCTGACAAAATGATCCACCAACTTTTACGCTAGAGAATGTGGATAAGAGAAAACAGCAAAGAGGGTGAAAAAGTGCAGAAATTTTAACAACAACGAGCAAAGAATTTCGATGTTGTACGTGAACGAATGGAAACGAATGAGTCCGGACTTATCCGAACTTCTTCGAGTCAATATCGGATTGTGATCACATGGAACCCAGGCCACGTTATTAGACGTTTAAACGTAGCCTCGATGCAACCATGCGTGTAAATCGCATTTCGTAAATCGTGAAATTAAATGTGATAAGAAATCGTTATGTAACGTTTAACACGAAGGTTTATTGCTTCAAGTTCAATGAAAAGATGCAAATTTCTTTTCAGAAGGTTGTTGAAACAAAGCTGTCAAGTATGGTATTTATATTTCTTAAGAAATATATAATGGATATGTTCGTTAGTAAACATATGATAAAGATACTCTAATTTCCAGAATTTCAACAGGTTACGTCTTATTGATTCCCTAGTGACTCATGGCACTCGTTCGATGGAATGCGTTTCTTACATAACGTCCACGTGGTGTCGATAATACAAAAACGAAAGATTAACATGTCTACTTTCAACAATTTCGCACATCCATCTACATAAAATCGAAATCAAAACGAATCAAAACGAATCAAAAACGAATTCCCCTCGTCGTGAACCATAAATTCTAGAAAGTTCGCAAAAACTCACGAGCAAATCGTAAATTTGGCTCTGCAGCGAGGCGAAGAAAAAAAAAAAAAAAGAATAAGAAGTCGATAAAAAGTTACATTTCTGCCGAGAAAGGGCAGCGTTTCTTGTCCGTGTGCGGCGATTGAAAGGTTTAAGTCCCGTGACGAGATATTTCCACCTGTTCGCAGGTTTCACCGGAAACGATGAATCCCGCCACACCATCGTGGGGCCCCTAGGACAAATCATTCACGTCGAAAAAAGAAAAGAAAGAGGCTCCGCAGGTCACAGACGGTCTCTGAAGAAAGACCGGCAGGTTGAAAACGCTACCTTCTGGTTCCGTGGATCTCGTGGCCGTCCCTGAAATAACGCAAGACGCCGAAGGTGGCGAACCTGTAGGTGGCAGCCGCGCTCTGGGTTCCTGTTACACGATGCGAGTGCGGCACTGGCGCCCCAGTCACGCTGGCCGGTGGTGGGGGGGCATTTCACGTTCCACGTGACACGCTGGCGCCTTGGTGGTAGGGATCGATCCGTGGTCACGTGACCACTGGCGCCGAGATAGTGGGGACGCACCTACCACCCCTTCGAAAGAACGAACTGGTGAAGACCGAGCTACGACAGGAAGACCGGCGGCATTCTGACCTGGTAAGTCGCCAGTGTCGGATCGTGAGACAGTGTGCAAGAACGAGGTATCGCAGGACATTTAAATCGACCGTGCGAACGGAACGTCTTTACAAGCGAAACGGGTTTTTTTTTTTGACATTTTACCGACCCGCGACGTGACCACAATCGGCGAGAGACCACGAGCAACACGAGGTCGGACAACGTTTATTTATTAGAATCCCAAAGGTCCTACTACCGATCATTTTTATTCAATCGCTGCCAGTGTGTGTTCGTCGTTCAATTCTTACTTGTTGTTCTCTCTGACTGAGAGAGAGAGAGAGAGAGAGAGAGAGAGAGAGAGAGAGAGAGAGAGAGAGAGAGAGATTGCTCTGAGAGGAACATACGCGAAGAAGAAAAACAAGGAGAATAAAAAAAAGTACCATACCGCGACTGAGACAGAGAAACCAGCGACTACGTCAAACGGCAGAAAATAAGCAGAGACGGAAGGAAAGTGTTGTTGTGCATGGAACGCAAGGAATAACAAAACCTGTAGATCGGCAGTTTTTTTTTTTTTTTTACCACGACGTCGTCGAACCCCGAAAGAGTCACCGGCGGTTGTATACATTGTTTTCGCGTAAACGGCCTCTAGGTGAGTGATATACGAAAGTCATCGGCCGAAACCAAGGTCCTGTTCGACGTGTACGTGTACACGCGTAACGAACACACGCACGTACACGCGTGTATCCCCGCTGTATGGTTGTAGTTTGTGAGCAGTGTTTCGAGAGTAGTGTACCTGGGCCTGAGGTAAGGCGTTTGTCGACGTGCGAATTCGCGTGAACTTCTCGTCGTCAGCCGCGGCCCCCGTATCTTTACGATCGATTCGTGCATGCTCTGTCTGGCCGCGTCGGCGAAAAACGGTTTGGCAACGTGGCGCGTGAATAAAGTGACACCGCGACGACGACGACGGCGACGGCGACGGCGACGACGACGGCGGTGAGAGGAGACAAAAAACCGAACAGCAGGGGAGAATCTCGCGCACGGGGATTTGCACGTTGCGCGTCGTCGACCAACAGAATCTTGACAGATACGTAAGCGAACCGCGGTCTATACGTCAATTTTTCTTCGATCGCCAACATCAATAGCAACAGCAACGGCAGCAGTCATCGTGTACACAGTTGAGGAGGCGGAGGAGGAGGAGGAGGAGGAGGAGGAGGAGGAGGAGGAGGAAAAGGAAAAAACGAGAGAGGTTGTACCGCCAACGTTGTTTCTCTCTTGTCGTGCGTGTTGCGAGAGAGGTTAGAAACGATCCACGGGGAACATGGATCTGCTCTGTTGCGAGACCACCGACACCGAGTGCCGAGCGTACAAGGATCCTGTCCTGCTCGACGACGATCGTGTGCTGCAGAATCTCCTGAAAACCGAGGAGAGATACTCGCCCAGCACTTCTTATTTCGAGTGCGTGCAGACGGAGATCTCGCCGCCCATGCGCAAAGTCGTCGCGGAGTGGATGTTGGAGGTGAGCAACTGTTTCCGGTCCACGTGTCGCCCTTGAATTTCCCAAAAATTTTTTTTTATCGCCCAATCGATCCTTATCTCCTGTAATCTTACTAATCGAGCGGACAATTCTACCGTGTCGAGTTTTTTTTTTCTTTTTTTTTTTTTTTTTTTTCGAAACGTCACGACAAAAAGTCGGTTGGCCTTTCGTTGGCTGCTATACACGATGAAAGTTGTCGAAGCAGGGAGATTCAGTTGTTTCTTTTTTTCTTTTCTCCGAAAGTCGAAAGGATCACGAGAGTTGTACCAGGATTTTGATCGTGATTCGGTAATTAAATTCCTATCTAGTGAAAACGAGAAAGACTACACATACATATCTCGGTTATCATTTTTTCTTTTTTTTTCTTTTTTTAACGCTCGCGTTACATAAACGTGCGGCAGTGATCTCTCGCGTGGGCCATTTTTATGCAACTAGTCTATTTATCGACGATCTATCGCTGTAACTATTTTAATAATTTATCTATAGATATTTTTCTCTCTCTTTCTCTCTCTCTCAGTCTCGTTTTAAAGTTCCGAGTACTTGTAACAAGTGTCGCAAGTGAGCCGATGTGAAAGTATATTTTGCCTGTCATCGCGAACGTTAACAGATCGTAACATGTACGTACATACAGTGATTTTCGAGAGTCTTTTTCGCCTGGAAGGAGTCTCGTGACGGGGATTATATTCTTCGAATATTCCCCGCTGTTAATAACCAAGGGAACCTTCTCCCTTCGCGTCGAGTGTATGCACGTTACGACGTATGCATCGAACAGAGAATTCCAGGTACATACACATATCGATGGTATTTCCGGTTCGAGTGGCGCGTGGAAAGCTCGCGGAACGGGGGGGATGTCGGCTTATTTTCGGCCGCGGAACGTGAGACAGACAGACAGAAAGCGTGGTCCGGTGACGTCGAACGCTCGTCCGCCGTGGTCCCTTTAAAATTTAAAAAACACCACGCGTTCGTCGCGTAGGTAATATGCCTTTCGGTTGCTAGCGTCGTTCGCTGTTTCTTCGCTGTCATTCACGAGCAAGCCGAATCATGTCAGTGGTATCACTGGCGTTACGTCACCCGTGCGTTGCCAAATGCGTATCGATACATACTTACGAACGGACGCGAAACTCGCGACCGAGAAACTCTCGGAAGCGGTTTTGAATTCCTGCGCCTTCTCGCCGAGAAAAACAGTGAAATCACGGTCAGATCGGTGTCCCTCCGATGATCGTTTGTTCTGTTTGGTAACAGAGTATATCTTTCCTTTTTCTGTTTCTTTCTTTCTCTGCTCGCGGAGATAACGTTCGTAACGGTAACGATTTCTTTGTTACGTTGCGCGTTCGGCTTCGAGTTTCGCATACTCGAGTGGCGTCAGATCAACGATCGTCGCGATCGTTTTCTTCTTCAACTGTTCCTCTCGAACTCCTTGGTCGTTGGGAAGCAAAACATTGGAGTTTCGTTATCGTTTTGAGGAAATATGTATATATATAAATGTGACATTGTTTGACGTTCGATATTCAGGCCACGAGAGTTTCAAAACATTTAAAACGTTGCAGAGTGAAATCTCTTGTCAATTTCTCTCCGATCGGTTGGATTTTCCTTTTCTGTAACGTTAATGTCAGCATTAGCATTTAGTATCAATATAATGTCAAATTATTAATAACTTAATGTTAATGTTCAAGTATATTTTTCAATATATGTACATATCACGAGCAGATCGATCGATCGATCGAGAGTCGAAAACTCGCCAAAATCTCTAGGCTTTCTAATGGTGTCTGATGTAACTCTAGTTAAATTAGAAATCGTTGTGAATCGCACAGTACAGTATCGCGAAACTATACCCAAGATATTTAAAATACCGGTTGTATAACTCATTTTATAATTACCGATAACAACAGCTGGATTTATCAAATCTACGAGTCTATAAATCTTTGCTCCTGATACAGTATACGTATATATGTGTGCATACGTTACATTTGTTATTTTGCTATTCATAAATTCACTCTGGTATTTAAAGATCCTGTGTCGCTAGAATTGGAAGTCAGTCGATTCGATTTAAACGATTATTGCAATTTTATATTGCGTGAAAATTTCTCATTCGATTTTAAAGTCAATTTTTTTCAACGGCGTTAAAAGTAAAGCCTTCTCTGCGTTCTAATTTAATACAAAAACTTGTGATCTCACTTTTTCATTCAATTTACAACTGGCGAGAACAGCGCCAGCCACTCAAGATGTTTACACCATGCCAAATACTTACTAATTGCATGTTCTTTAAAGATACTTTTGTTAATGTTAATTGTGAGGATATTTATCGATATTTTAAGATTATTAAATTATTAAAAAATTTGTTGATAGTAATATAATTGAAATGATATATTTTATATATGATAATAATTCAAGATTTCAGAATTAATTTAAGAATGTTAGATTTCTATTAATTTAGAGTATTTGGTTTTATTAATTTTTGCATTAATAACCAAAATCGTTTAAATCAAATATTCTATAACTGATTAATTATTAAAGTTTCCAATGGTTCGATGTTATCAGTTGAAAGTTAATGTTAACATTAATCACGTTAATCCAAGTGTCAATCACTACCTTACCATCAAACAGTTATTCATTAATTTCAGAGAAAAATCAAGTCAAATTTTCAGTAGTTTAATTTCGATCGAAGAGACGTCCACAATTATTTTATTACTATCACAATTAATTTAAATTAAATTAAATTTAAATTAAAAAACGATTCTTAAGAATCCCCGAGTAATACCCGAAATTTATCGAATTTTAAATCGTGACTCAGCGATCGTTGACCAATCATGTTAAGGCGAAAGATGTTAATGGCGTTTAAATACCCCGCGAAGTTTCTTGAACGATCGGCAGCCTTTTAACCAGGTCGATTTTCTGCGGTTCAAGGTCCGGTTTATTCAGCTGTCGATTGCCTTTTCTTTTTCTTTTCCTCTTTTTTTCTTTTCCTTTGCACGATTAATTACAACGATCAGGAGGTTTGTAAAGTCGACCTTGAATCATACGTCTATGTCGGGAACGTGACCGGACTGGGTCGTGTCGTGCACGCGTGTCGAAGTCCATTGCTTTGAATTCTTTGGCATTAGAGGCACTCGCGAACGATTCATTCGGGCGAAATTCATTCGACAGCGATCCTCTCGCTTCGTTCTCACGCCTGTTGCTCTCCGCCACGAAAATCTTCGAAAAGAGAACAGTGTAAGTGGTTTCTCGATTGAAGGACAAACGTTGCAACATTTAATTTGCTATTCTATTATTTATTACTATGGAAAGAAATTTCAAACGTCTGCAAGAACATTTTTCTCTTCGTTGTAGTCTTTCTATTCTTGTATTTTATAATTTCAAGAAATTGAAGTGTTTATAATGCCACGATAAATCATCGCTAATGAGTGAAATTATTGCAAACAGTCGTGTCTTTATAAAATTTCTATTGCAACAAAACATAGAGTCGGTAGAAAATTGCTTTATGTATTGAATCTTTTACTTTTCAATATTTTACTTTTGCCTTTTTTTGTTGTTTTACAATTTCCTATAAATACGTAAATATCTGCAGATATGTAAAGCTTTCTTATACATCGTTGCGATTTCAAACAAGGATCCATGTTACATTTTAATTGAAATTAAATATGATTGCGCAGTCTCCGGGGATTGTTTTAATGTTAATTGGAAGCATTTAAATCATGTTATCTCGGTAAATATAACATGGACCATTCATTTCAACTTTTGAGAGAATTTCTCAATTTCACAGTGCAAGATGGAGATCATTCGAGTTTCGACTCGAAATTTCGTTAAATGTGCAAATTTGTTTCTGCTTAATTTCTCGTAGCTTTAATGCAGTGCTAATGAAAATTTGGTTGCTCCGATCGTGGCATTTCTCGCGTAAAATCCTTTTAGGATGGTGACGATAATCGTTCTAGTTCAGAATAAATTATCGCGACAAACAAATTGGTTTCATTTTATCAATATTAGTCGATATTTGCACAAATTGTAAATGTAACATGTAGAGTTTAGTAATGCAGAATGATGTAACCAGGTTTCGTTGGAATTTAATTTTAGATGCCAAATTTTCGAAACTCGTTGGTTAAAGTGAAACATCTATCTATGTAGAAATATCGAAATCACAACTGAAAAATATTCCAAATTAGTCAAATTATGGTCTATTTCAACACGAGGTGCGTCTAAAAAAATTTTTGTATCAGAAATTTTCATCCCTAAAGATTCTCTTTAAATGTAAAATTTAACACTTTACTGGTACTCATTATCAATTTTGTAGTCTAGCAGATTATAAACTCACGTTTCAGAAAGTTATTAGAACTTTGCAATTTAAATCGAGATGAAGGAATTCTTCGGTTTATGATATTATAATATTAATTAACAAATAATTTACTATTAATAGCTTCTGTATTTCACAGAATTTTAGCAAATTAAACGAGGATCATTGCAACAATTATAAATACAAAAAGTGCGAACAAAGTATAATATAAATTATAAATTAATAATAATACAATAAATAATAATATAATAATAATAATGTATAATATAATTAATAACAATGTAACAAATAATAGAATATAAAATAAAGTATAATAAATAATAATAATAATATAATAATGTATAATATAATTAATAATAATATAAATTCTAAATTCTTACTATGGGAAAAGCTCCGAGAAAGAGAATTTATACGACAGTAGAGAGAAAAATTACAAAGAGAATTGTCGGGAAAGTTACGAAAGGAAAGTTGATATAGAATTTGGTGAGTTTCGATTGAATTTTTGCAAAAACGATTCGCGAAACTAATTATCTGCGGTGCGGAACGCTGACGGATGACCGTCCGGTAGATATACAGATGAGTTTGTTGGCCCACGGTTTGTTTTTATCAGCTAGCCTCCCTCGCGTTCTTCAATAATTTGAGCTTGGAACATGTTTCTTTTTTCTTCTTTTTTTTTTTTTTTTTTTTTTTTTTTGTTCGAACGAAAGATATCGAGCTCCGATTCGACCTAGTTTTCTTATTAATATTTGAACAGATGCACGGTCTAATTATCCAAGAACTTGTTTCTTTGATTCTTTTCGATTAAATTTCGCGATTCAAGAATCTCTTCCCTTCTTTTATTAATACGCTGTCTGATTGCTTCTTTCTGCACGGGTATTTCAATTTTTTTTACAATAACAGTGAAGTACTGTAATTTTTCTGGAAAATTTTACTTATGATTTTTGTTAGAAGAAAATACGTTGTAATATTAATTGTTAGGCATCGCAAAGGAAGGATTTGGAAACTCTTTATCAAGAAATTCGTGACACTTGAGTTGTCAAATTTAAAATAATATTTACATAATAATGTGTATTATTAATTAAAATGATAGAATTATGTTATACAAGTAGTACTAATGTATAATAGTATAATAGTATTATTGTTCATTATAATCCGTGTGTTTTTGTAATACTTTTTGAGAGTTTTTGAATCCTCTTTTTGGTATTTATTTCCTCGTAATTAAAATTGTAAGTAAAATTGCAATAATTATAACACTGCAATTAATTACGTCGCTTTGACAACTGAATTTAATATCGAGTTCAATGTTTTAGTAACTGAGTTCAACGTTTAATTTAAAATGACTTTAAAGTTGCATGTCCTAATGATTCAGGATTTTACATCTAACAAGTATCCTATATAAGGGAGAGTTTCAAAGGAACGTTCGAACTGCATTGGGGCGTTCCAAGAACCACCGGAAATGGGGGTTGACCGAAAATTTTCCAAGCAGTCGCCTCGTAAAAAACTCACTGGTTGCCTTTCCTACCGGTTAAATTGCAACCATATGAATGGACGTTACACGACTTATTGACCATGACCAACGAATCCACCCTTTTCCAACAGCCCCCCTAATTGCTCCATCGCCACGACCAATTAGTACCACTGGTTTAACGAAATAATTGTCTGTGTCCACCATCATCGATTAAACGCGTTAACAAAAGGTCGCGTTTCAACAAAAAACAAGAAAAAAAAGCAAATTCTCGCGATGTAAGTTTTAACCTCTTGCGCTGGAATGACGTGCCACGGCACGTCGAGAATTTTTCGTTCCAAAATTGTAATATTTTCTCGGTTTTAAGTATATTTAAGTGAAGCAAAATAGGCAAAACAAAACAATAAATTTATTGCTTCTCAATTTCTATTCAAGTGATATCCATACGAGTTCGAAGAGAAAGTGACGAACTGTTGTATACGGTTTGGTCACTCGTTACGGTCCGCAATCCGTTGCCAGCGCAACTGGTTAATGATCGCAAGCAGGTCGCATTTAAAAGCGTGGAAGGTTGCTTTTTTTTTTTTTTGTCGAAAAAAAAAAGGAAGATTATGTTCCGCAGAGTTGAAGTTGGAACTTCGTAAACGTGGGAACATCACGATGTGAATCGGTGAGATAGAGTCCCAGATTGTTTTAATTGATATTCCATGCGCGTACGTGGCATAAGTAACGTGAGAATTGAACGTGGAAACTGGGAATATTTAGAGCGAAGGTTTCGAATTGAAGTTTGTTAAAATAGAATATTAACCGATAAAATAAGCTTTTCTGGTCATTTATTAAAAGAGCGATGATACAATTGAGACTCGGCGATACTTGGTTTGACAGTTGTTCTTTGAATTATGTTTGTTGGCACTTGGAATGATAATATATATACTTGAGGCTGCGAAATTCTTTTCAAATCATAATCGTACTGTTTTCTTAATGAGAATTTTAATTACGAAATCTCGTTATTAAAAATTATTCGAGGCTAATTTATCTGCATTTATCTTCATTATCAGGCTTGGTTGCCTGAAATTATTTCTGAACTGTTGTTTCTGAAAATTCGCCGCGAACACATCCGAGTGGCGTTCGTTTCAATGTTTTTTCGAGAGTTCAAAGGTGGTCGTTTCTACGAATTGACCCCGGCGGTTTATTAGTAACTTCTTGGAATGCCGATTTATGGCGGTCCTTTTGTACATTCGAGATACACAGTGGCGCAGATGCATTTTCGGTTTGCCATAATGTACCGTCACTTGTAAAATTCCATTTACTTCAACAAAATTTTAGTAAATGCCGTAAAATTCTGTTTATGCGATTTACCATTTAATCGAATCAAGTTTTAGTCGATACGGTGTAATTCTATTTGTTTGTAGCAAATTTCAGTCATAGTAGAACGCAGTTTGTTTGAATCAAATTTCAGTAAATACAGTGGAACACAATTTGTTTTTAGTGAACTCCGTGTATACGTATTTATTTCAGCCGAATTCGAGATATATTTTGCTTTTAGAAAATGTTTTCATCTTTTAATACAAATGAAAAATGGAAATAAATTACAATATTTCATTCGATGTACCGATATCATTTACATCGAGAATAATTATTCAATAATTATTCAATCAATCGATTTATGTTTGTGATAAATTTTGGAAATGATAATCTTTCAGTCTGCAATTTATATCTTGTTTCAGCATATTATGTTTCGATATGCATCTCGTGTTTGTCTTCTTGAATTTGCAGTATATAATTGTTATTTGATGCGTTGAAAGTATCGAAAAAGGTGTTGAAATGATTATCTTTCGACATCTTCAAGATATTTATCGTTCTCCAATTTGCAATAATTCGCTTTATATATCTGCATAAACATCGAAACGATGACCATTTGATATAAATGAAATATATTCTATATCTTTCATCGGTCTGTTCTCGACTTTGCAATAATTTCAAGAGTCGACAATATCTTGAAAAATGAATATCGACGAGACGATACATATATAACTTGTTGGTTATTTTCTCGTTTAATGTTCTCTATATTTTAATTAGACGTCTTTCATTTTTCGTATGCTTTAAATGTCGTAAGATTTTGACTCAATTTCACTTGATTTGACGTGCTGCTTGTGATATTTTTAAGTTAATACCGATCGGTAGATTTATTTCAACTGAAGTGAAACCCAAGTCAATTTCTTATTTTATAATATCCAGTCACGCTCGCGGTAATTCTAATTTAAATCTTAAATTTAATTTCTTTAATAGGTACAAATTATATATAACGTTTCGATATTTCACATCTGTCTGACTAATACCTATTTATGGAGATCGGAAAAGAGATCGTGAGTCGGGTTAAATCTCAATTTTTACGTCACATTGCTTAATAGTTAAAAATGAACTGCACGTTTAATTAATGTTCATTCTCGTCTCTTTTTTTTTTTTTTAATTCACGCAAGATTAATCTTATCTCGTGTAACAAACACCACTGGAATCGACGCACTGTATTTATTTTCGTCGGACTTTAGACGGACTTTTTGCGTTCATTTAGTGAAGAAAATTATTTCAGCCCGGCGAACTGGAATTTCGTTCGACGTCGAAAGCTCGTTATACTCTTCTTCAGCATCGACTGTATCGATTGTATCTTCTCTCTCTCTTGGAGAATGCTTTGAAAACAAAAACCGAGGTCCCCGACCTGTGCCCCAGGGTGATCGATTAGCCAAAGCCGCGATGTTAAAATACGAGAAGAGGAAATCCGGTCTCTGACGTATTCGCCACTTTTATTTTTTTCCTCCTTCTTCTTCTTTTCTCCCCTCCGGTTTTGCTGCTACTTTATTAATTTGCCGTTAATTTTTCAACCGATTGAACACGTCGATATTCCGTTGCCTGTCGTCTCGAAGTCTGTTCGCGATTCTGATTTTATTTATTTAATGGTTTAATGTTTGCTAGGATCGTGAAAAATTCAAGTAATTCTTTCTGAAAGAACGTTGAGAGCGTGACTCTTTTTTTTTACGACGATAATGTTATAAAATTTGAAATAGCTCCAATTTTGATTTAAATATTTTCCAATTTAATTTAGATATTTTCAAAAAGCTCTTAACTCTTGTATTTCTTCATTAATTCCTTAATCTCTACGTTTCCTCCAAGCTAACTTAAAAAAAAAAAAATTAAAAACATGTAAAGATAAGTATTACGAAATGAAATTATAAAATACGTGGCGCACCTAATTTGTTTACATACTGTGTATCCCATTACATAATCGGAATTACAACGTTTGATATTTAAACTCGAGTTTGTTCCGAGAATACAGTGTTGTTATTACGTTATTAGAAAACATGCGTGTGAAATTGAACCTAAATGCCGGTGACAATAGCACGACAGTTTCAAAGAATTTTCACACAATTTTTCGAGAAACAGAGAGCAATATAACGTATCACTAACGATACCCTAACCTCACTCTACATATCTTAAATACCATCAGCCGATCCTAACCTCGCACGAAAACTGTCCTCCGGTCTAAAATTTATTTTCCGCTCCCTCGGACTCTCCCTCCAAAGAAACCTAACTGTACCCACATTCCACGTGATTTTCTCGTCAGAAAGAAGGTCAGGTATCGATACGTCCCTAATTTCCAAGCGCCGTTCTATCCCTTCCTCTCGAGATACACGTTAGGGAGAGAGGGAGGGACAAATCGTTGAAAGCCAACCCCTTTCGTGTTTCGTTTCGAGTGAAAGAGCCTGGGACCGTATCGTTGGGTCAGAATACGTGAACGAAAAGCAACCGGGCACGATTCTAATCGGTTGGTTAATGATGGTTGACAGGTATGCGAGGAGCAGAAGTGTCAGGACGAGGTCTTTCCCCTGTCGATGAACTACGTCGACAGGTTCCTCTCGATCTGCCCGATCAAGAAGTCGCAGCTGCAGCTACTCGGGACAGCCTGCCTGCTTCTCGCCTCGAAATTGCGGGAACCGTCGCCGCTCACCGTCGAAGTTCTTGTTTTCTACACAGATAACTCCATCACCACGGATGACTTATTGGTAAGTGTTCATAGAACCTCCACTTGTTTCACCTTTTGTTTCGCTTCGTCGATGAACTCTCTCGCCACTCGACCGATGTCCAAATACGGCCATTTGTACCCCGAGTGAATTCGCGTTTGGTCTCGGCTTTGGTCGAGTTAGGTTTGCTTTGGTTTGATTTAATCCCTTGGCGGGTGGTTGCGCGGACCGTAACGAGTGACCGAACCCCTGTATATGCAATAATTCGTCGCTTTCTTCTTCCATTGAACTCGTCGGTTATGATATTGCTGGATAGAAGTTACTAAAAAGTAAAAGTATTTGTTTTGCCTGGATTACATTTAAATATATTTGAATAAACTGAGAAAGTGTTGCAATTTGAGAGAAAAAAATTCTCGACGCGCGTGGCAATTCCATTCCAGCGCAAGAGGTTCTAAGCTGCCAGTTTTTAATTATTGGGGATTGGAGTGAAAATTGATATATAAGTTAGAAGTGTTGGTGTCTTTTTAGTGAAATTTGTTGGTGCAGATTCTCAAATTTTAAATTGTTGATGTTTAATTATTGGTCAGTTAGAAGTATACTTTTTCATTAGTATAGATTTTTTTTTTTTAGAACTAAACAGTAAAATTATACCTCAACTCTTAAGTATTACAGATGTTGAAGCTTATAAAACTATGGTAGAAAGTTTCGCAAAACATTAGTATCATTATTAATTGTTTAATAATTACTCTAAAAAAATTGATTTAATTATAATGATCTGTAACAAATGCATTGAAAAATATAAAACAGTCTGAGAGAAGAAGTAGAAATAAATGAAATAAAATTCAAAATGGTCTGCAATACTTAAGGATTAATTGAATTGCAAAAATATGACAATACAAAGCTGAATGTTTTTTCAACAATAGCGACAAAAAAGGAAGGAAAATCCTGTTAGTAAACACTATCACCTATGATAAATCATCAGCGATAAAACACCACGCGTTAATGAAACAGAGCTTATCGTTAATTGCACTTTTTCACACGATAAGTTTCAAGTAGAATAGCAGAGTATAGTTAGATTTTTGGGTGCAAAGTCACGTCAGACTGATATTTGTTCACCATTTTTTCTCACTACAGAAGAAGATCTAGGTGAGATAAATTAACCAAAGATAAATATCCTACTTTTCTTTATCTTGAATTAGCCTTACAAGAAGTGTCACTTTTTAAACTTTGGCTTCATTTAGTTTTCGTTCTTTAGTTTCGATTTTTCTTTTTTCTTCTTCTTTTTTTTTTTTGTTTTTTTCGTTGTGCAATATTTGAAACTTCTCTCCGTGTCGAAGAAAGTTTTCACATGACACATGTATTATAATTCGTGTTAGACGTAATCGGTGAGTCGTTTTCACTCATTGTTCGCAGAGGAATCGTAGGAAACCTTTTCGAAAATTCGATAAATCCAATCGAGCTATTTGAAAGACACACGCACAATCGGCAGATTAAATTTTTATTAAAACAACAGCTTCTGTCAACAAGATAAAATTGAACACCGGTTGTAAGATATTATCGCTTCTTATACAATATTTGTTCGTAATTATTGATCGAAAAGACTTTCGACGCTTTGATAGAGTGTGAAAATTTGACAAGGTTTTACTAGAATTTGTTCAAATTTTAATACGTTGAAAGTAGCTAATTAAAACAATAAAATATCATAAAAAAATAGTGTTGCGATTAATTACTAATATATTTAATTATTTTAAAATAATTATTTTAGCTATACATGTAAATTAGGTGAAAAAAAGGTGAAATAATTAATCTGATTAGTTTCTATTCGCTTAATTTTCTAATTTCTCACACTGTTAATTAGTAAATCACGTTAAGAAAGAAATTTACTATAAATCACGTATATATTCGATATGAAGAAAATTTACGAGAAAAATGTTAAAATCAATATATCTTCGTACAAATCCCTCTGTACGAGTTCAAATTCAGAAACAGGAGCTTTCTAACTACAAATTAACTAAAAACACATTTGTAACTTCTTGCCTTATCTTGGATAGCCTTGGATAACTTTCACGTGCAAAAATCCGAGATTATTCGCCAAATTGTTTTCACTGTTCGTGAAAAAGTTCCCCTTTTAAATCGCAACTCAAAGTATTTCCTAAAAAAAAAAAAAAAAAAAGAAAGAAAAATTCGCCAGCTGTTCGATAACGTTGCACGACGAGAGAGGGTGTGTACAGCTACATGCTATAAATTCCCTTTTCTCGTTAAAATGTATCGCAGGTTAGTATCGATAGGCGGTGGTTATATGGTAATGCCAATGAAACTTTCATAGGAGAAATTTTACGGTACGTTCGTCGGGAGACGTTTGACGAAACAGTTGGCGAAATAGGGAGCGAGCGGACAGAGCGTTATCGGTATCAAACGCCTCTGTCTCTCGGTTTATTTCTCGCACGAGGACCGTTCAATGGCCGAATCTCGAGCAGCTGATAACCTGTCCCATCGATAGCCTTGCCGATTATAATATGAACCGACGTCACACGTGTTCGGTTCGCTTGTTTTCTAAGATGGGAACAACGTTACGTACATGTAACAGCGGCGGTCTTTTCTAGCTCGTTTCGCATTCATGGAATGTAAGAGTTGCCAAGCAGACGCTGACAATTTTCTTGCTTATGCCGTGTTTCCAACTCCTCCGTCTATGGTGTCTGACCGTGTCATGGTTGGATCCTCTGTCTGTCGCGGTTTCTCACTCTGTGCAATTACAGTTTCGTTGCGAGTTTAAGCCTTACGTAAGCGAAATTCCGGTGGTTATTTAACAAGTGCGCGAGGAAGTTGGTAGCCGAGAGTTTGGAATTTTTATTTTTCTGCAAACGCGTCTGGAGAAAAAAAAAAAGAAAAGAAAAGAAGAAAAGTGGAAATTCGAGGCAATTTTACGATTGTTTAGATTTTAAAATTTTTAGAGTAATTCTCAACTTCAACTTTTCGTGTAAGAATGTCTAAACATTGGAAATTTGGAGAGATTTAAAATTACGAACTTATTGTTAGAATTGTAGATTAATTTATCAATTGTTAATTATAATTATTAATTTTGATTAGTTCTTCGGAACTTTGATTTTGAATTTTTACGTAAAAACGTCGAAAAAATGGGGATTTTTAGATTTAGATATTAGATAAATCTTAGAATTACAGATCCAGAGTTTCCAATTAGTTTCTGTGTAAATCTTTGATATTCAAAGATTGTAAATTTTAATGATAGTTTTACTTTACAAATAATCACAAATTGCCTCGAATCTTCGATATTTCAAACGTTCGAGCTTTGCTTTGTTAGAATTATAGATTTAGAATTCTAAAGAGAAAGATTCTTAAATCTCTCAGTCTCCTAATATCTCGTTTCTCTTCTATATGTTTGCTTAAATTTCCAGAAGAAAGCAAAATTTGATAGATTTAAAAGAAAAGAAAAAAGATTCCAAATAACTGTAAATGATAAGAAAGAAAAAAAGTATCACCAGTTTAAAAAAGTTTGACAAAAATGTTGGCCTCTTTATTTACTATCTAATCTGGCCACTATTAGCATCGCCAATTTATTAAAAACCCCGAATTGCGTTATCAGATATTGAGATTTCAGATGCCGGCGTTTCTGTCATTTAATTGATAAGCTTGTCAACTTTTACCAAGATGTAAAAAAAAATTCTCAATGTTGCGAGACATTTAAATTCGCCGGTATTTTAAAAAAATCGACTAGACGACGTAATTTTTGCTGCGACGCATATTTCTTTCGTCTTGCGAATCATTATTTTTATTTTTCTTTCAACGCACGACGCATTGTGAATTTTCATACAAATTTACAGTTTTATGAATGGAATTCAATAATTTATTTAGCGATCTTTAATAATTATTCAACAACTTATTATAGCAATCTTTAGTTATTTAATATTTAGTAATTTGTTGTTTAGTAATTTTTAATATTTAATAATTTATTATTTAGTAATTTATTTAGTAATCTTCAACGGAGATTGGTTGTTTGAAATTGTTACTGTATTGTATTTTACATAATTCTGTATAGAATTCTATATAATTCTATCTAATATAATTATATAGAATGTTCGTGCAATATTTACACGACTTGTATAATACTTATACAAATTGTACAATTTATACAATTTACACGAATTAAATCGGACGATATTCACGCATTTTACATAGAATTTATACAATTATACAATTCGCAAACGAGCTTACACGCGCAGTATTACAGAACTCACATTATTATGCGATTTATAGAATTTATAGAAATTCACGCGACACGTGGAATTTATACAAATTGTGCAATTTTTTATTTCTCTGCTTCATACAATTTAAGAAAACTCCAGTGTTTCGCATTCTGCGCATGTTTAAATTTCACACAAATGGATAAAGATCTCCACACAGTTGTAAAACTGTAGGAGTAATTGAATATTCTCGTAATTAAAAAGAAGCGTCAGAGTTGGACAGTGTCAGCTAGAGAAGTAGTGTCTCAAATTAATATATTATCACGTTCATATTATCGCCACGTCTGTGGAAGAAGAACGAGCGTGATAACGGAAACACACGTCGATCATTCCTCTCAGTACGCGTGCGAATTGCAAGCGTTTCCAATAGAAGGAGCAGGATAATTTATCGATGTATAATTCGATCGGTTCCGTGAATTGCATGAAATATGGAAATTGCTATTCGGCTTGGGCCGAATATAGTCTCCTCGAGAGCTCGTGTCAGCTTCAATTAAAATGTCAGAGCGGCTCCCTCAGAGATGACAAATCTCGTAGAATCTCGGGAGGTTTATTAGAGATTTTATTGGGATTAGGAAGAAGGTTGACGCGTCTGCTCTCTTTACTGGTCGCATTATATCAGTATGTTTTATCGCCGTCTATTATTATTCGAACGTGGTCGATGAGTAAGTCTGGAAGATCTATTTTTATTCTCGTCCTGCGAGAGAAAAAATTTTATTTTTACAGTTCTCTCTCTCTCTCTCTCTCTCTTTTGTTACAGTTGAATAATCTTCGTTGTTAATTAAT